GGAGGGGATGTTTGATGATGAGTGGGGGAGGGGCCGACGTGATAGATGGGGGGGAGGGGGAGGGTCGAAGTGGGAGGAAGATGGCGAAAGAATGACCAGACGCTTGCCCTTTTGTTTCTTAATGATCTCCCAAACTAACCATCATGGATTTCAGTTGGCGATATCTRAGTATCTTAGTTCCTTTCCTCCRACCAGCCTGGCCTAAGTTATCKGTTTGTRGATTCTAATCCTCAATTAGATTTTGCTTCTCTATTCSTAGTTGTGCACAGTGCTGGTCGAGAGATATTATGAAGATGTGTATTTTGTTGTCAGTCGAGCGTGACCTTGCCTTGTTAATTATTTGAGGTCCCAATTCAGCATTCTTTTGACAAAAAWTATCTCAAGTGCTTTTACCCCAATCAAGGTATTGTCTGTCCGCCGCTCCTCGSCGACTTATATTCAAAATTACTGAGTATAATTTTCGTTATTGTATTTGTGATGAGTCGGTGATTTTTTATTTTTTTTTTTGGCTCTGGCTCTGGCTTTTCTAGCCTGGGGGCTCTCTCGGGGTGTAAGGTAGGATTAGGAGAGTTAGGGCAGATTATCGGAGAGAACACACCTTGAGTGCTGCCATTCTTCTTCTTTTGCTGAAAGTGGATTCCTCCCCTGTTGTTGAGCCAATGCCTTCCTGAGAGTGGTCTCCCCTTGCTTGTCTTGCAAATGTAGTTGCCCTATCCYGAGAGGAATCACAACCCTCTGTTATTCCTCCTTTTCTCTTCCCCCTCCTTCCCCTTTCTTCTACCTCTCCTTGGAAAACTCTTTGAGTCCTCCCTCCTTCCTTCGGTGGCCGCTACTTTGTGACGATGGTTGTCTCTCCTTGTGTCCGTTCCTCCTTGACAACCTCACCTTGTCTTCGGTCGTTTCTTCCTGTCTAAATGATGACGTTTCCGCAAAAGTATACTACTCTCTGGTTGTCGATTACTCTGCCGTACTATCTACAATCTCTGAATGCCTGTGTAATATAACCTTCGGCTTGAAAACATGTCAACCTCTCTTCACCTGCTTTCGACTATTGCTAATGAAGGTAAGTCACTGCTTGGAACTGTTTTAGTTGTCAGGTCGTTGATTTGCTACGCCTCTAACCCTTCAAAAGAAAAACGTAGACGTCAACAGTGCGCATTACTAACATTCCACCCAATACTAGGTTGATGATACCTATCCTTCACTCATTCTCTCTCTTTGCTCTTTGTCCCTTGATCCTACCACCCAATGCCGTCTTAGTTGCTTAAATTAGTACTCACGGCCGCTGACGACGTCTCCGACAGAGAATGAATTGACGCAGAAGTGTACTATTGTTGTCTTCTCCTTAATGAAGAAGTGAACTGCTCGTCGAGGTGCTCTGTTCCCTTCTACCTTCACTCCAAAGTTCACAAAATGTGTTGTTGCTTTCTTCTTCTTCGTGAGGGAGTGCAATGAAAGAAGATGTGAACAGTTCACGTCCTCCCCTTACCTTCTCGCCATCTCTGAGATACCTTGTCTCCTGTTTTTGAAGTAAATATCGAGTAAAGAAACGCTCGTCCTTCACGCAGCTATGGTTTGTGACATAGCTGTGATGGAATTTTTCGCGAAACCGAGGAAGGACACACGCTCCTTACCCAGTCATCTCCCGGGGCGCGTCAGCTTGTGACGTGGCTTGAGCTAGCGCCCTCTTGCCCTTGCGCGTGTGCGTTCACCTTCTCTCCTTCCTGACAGTAGCACGTACAATCTCAGATTGCCATCACCTTCTTGAGAGAGTGAAATGAAAAAAGAGGTATACAGTATTACCTGACAACCAGCCTTCTGCTGCACCAGGAACTTTAGAGTTTGCTTATCGATATGAACAGCTGATGCAGCAGGCTGTTGAGCACATGCACAAGGCGCAGGCGGCAATGATTGAGTCTGAGAACAAACACCGCCGCCCATCTACGTTTCAGGTAGGGGAGAGAGTTTGGGTCAAGTCCTCAGAACTGGGACAGGAGCACGGGATCTCCCGCAAGCTCATGCCACAGTACTTTGGACCATGGGAAATCCAGGATGTCGTCGGGGATGAGCCAGATGGGCCCTCTTATGTTATTCGCATCCCGGGTAACCTACGTACCTACCCTGTTTTTCACACTTCCAAGTTAGCACCTTTCAAAGAAACTGATCAGTTTCCATCGCGTCGTTCAATGCTGCCCCCAACCATGGATGGAGAAGTGGACATTGATGATATTGTGGACCACAGAGAGCTGCCGGTTCCAAGACCCACAGGCAGGGGACGTCCTCCGAAACCGAAGCTGCAGTACCGTGTTCGGTTTCGGCATTACACTGATCCAAAGGAGGACCGATGGTTCACCAGGGAGGAACTGATGCAGACCGCTCCTCGAGTTGTGACTCAATACGAGAGATCTCTGCTGAAAGGAAAGCGCCCTATGATCGAAGATTGAGCTTCTCAGAGGACTGTTGAAGCTAAGGAGGAGGGAATGCGAGGCCACTGCCTCTAAGAGCCCCATTTTTGCAGCCCGTCGGCCGCCCTAAGTGAAGGCAGGCTCGACGAGGCCCTCAGGGCCCTTTTCTGGCCACCACGCAACTCAGGAAAATTCAGGCAGTTGCGCAGCGCCAGTTGGTTGAGTGAACCCAGGCCCTGGGCCGCCTGTGTGAATGTATGTGAAGCAGGCCCTGGGCTGGATACGGGTACCGGGCCAAACACAGGCCGAAAGCAGTTGGGCACATGTAACCACTTCAGGCCCAAGGCCTGCTCCTCTCGTGCTGGGCCTCAGGCTACCGGGGCCTACTGGAAGCTTCCTGG